CTGGTGTTGCCTGTACCATGGCACTTACCACAAGAAGCTGCATCAGCACAAGGAATTAGTGCCCTGACCCTGGTTGTTTATAGTGGTACCACTGTCGTTCACTTCCTTCCTGGCTTCTTGAAAGGAGGGATGTGTCATGTTCATCCAGAAGTCCTGTCATCAAGAGGGGTTCAGTGAACAACTCATAATGAATGAATGTCTTCTAGTTGGTGAGTAAACTTGAGTAGAGCAAGAAAGAAGAGTTATTTGTTCAGAGGCCTAAGTTACCCTCAAGACCTCTCTGAGCTGACAAAGATTTTTATTTCTTAATCTCCCTCCATCCAGACGAACCACAGCTGAACCAGCCACACCTGTGGAACACAAACCAGTCTCCCATTACAGAAAAGGAAATCTGACCCAGCCATTCCCTTGCTTAAAACACCTTTTGGTGACCTGTTTGGCAGGAGGGGGTAGAGGCAAGTGAGCACTTGGAAGCAGGGAACATTCTATGTTATCGAACATTCATTTGCTTATTGGTTGATTCATTTGGCAAGCATTTAATTAGCACCTGTGATGTGCTAGGCACATGTTACTTCCTCTTTACAGCACGCTTTCAGGACCACGTACTTGTTACGCTATATAACAAATCACCCCAAACTTAGTGGCTTAAAGCAGCAAACATTTGTTATCTCCCTGGATTCACACACAGCTCAGCTGGTTGCTGCTGGGTCAAGGTCTCTCATGAGGTGGCAATCAAGCTGTCCACCAGGACCACAGTTGCCTCTAGGCTCAGCTGAGGCTGCAGGATCCATTTCCAAGCTCATTCACAGGGCTGTTGTCAGGCCTCAGGAGATTCACACAGGCCTCTCACACACTGGCTAACTCCTGCGGGCCTCTCCACAGGGCTGCCTCACAACATGGCAGCTGGCTCGCCCATGTGAATGACAGCAAGAGGGCCCCAGGCAGAAGCCACGATCTCTTTATAACTTAGTCTTAGGAGTAATATGCCATGTCTTCTGCCATATTCTGTTCTTTAGAAGTGAATCAGTAAGTCCAGTTTATACTCTAAGGAAGAGGGTTACACAAGGGTATGAATACCAGGAGGTGGATTGATTAGGGTAGCAATTTTAGAGGCTTCCTGCCACAGTTATCTGTGTATTATTATCCTTCATTTCATACTCAGATACCCAGCTAGTTAAGCAATGTGGCCAGGTCACTCATCTAAGGTACTGTCTGCATGGCCAGTTGGGGGTGAGGTGGAGGAAGTCCAGGAGAAGGTACTGATAGAAAAACAAATGGGGATAGAGCCCTATATTCATTCCACCACTGTGTAACTGATTACCCACAACTTTGGGGCTTAAAATAAACATTGATAATCTCACGTAGTTTCTAAGGGCCAGGAATTCAGAGGCAGCTTGGCGGGGTGGTTCTGACTCAGGGTCTTTCGTGAGGCTGTAGTTAAGCTGTGGGCCAGAACTGCAGCTTTGAAGATTTGACTGGGGCTCGGGATCCCCTTCCAGGATGGCTCACTCACATGGCTGTTGATGGAAGGCCTCAGTTCCCGGCTGCACCGACCCCTCTATAATGGGGCTTGAGTATCTTTGTGACATAGAAGTTGGCTTCCTCCAGAATAAGTGATTCAAGAGAGCCTAAGCGGAAGCCTCAATGCCCTTTGTGACTTTGGCTCAGGAGTCACACACTGTCATTTCTGCAATGTCCTGTTGGTTACCCAAGTCAGTCCTGTTTGTTGTGGGAGGATTACACAAGGGCATGGGAACATCAGATGAGGATCACTGAAGGCTGGCTACCGTAGGGTCCTACAAGATTAGTAATCCTAAAACTCAACTTTAATGAAGTCACTCCGTTGGTCAAAGAGATCCAGAACTTTCCCACATCCTGCAGCACATAATCTGATTTCCTCTGTCCTATCTCCCACTGTCTTTTGGGTGGATAGATCACCTGGGCCTGACAGCCTGGTCTGCTTCACGACCCCAACAGTCCCCACAGAGATCCTTATGGATATGGTCCCCTCCCCACCCTCTGTTCGGTGGGAAGGCCTACTTCCCTGGGAAGCCCAATCCAGCCTTTGACACAGAGTTATTGCGCTTCTGCCAAGTGCAGGCTCTGGTTGGATCCTGGAATACAAGAGTGAGCAAACAGACATCCATCCTCCCTGGAGAGCTTCCAGTCAGATGGAGAGGTAGATGTTAGCCAATTAGCAATAATATAATCACAAATTGTGACATGGTCTCCCAAGGAAAACTACAGGTGCCATGCAAACATATAATGGGGGTCCTGGCCAATTCTGCATGTCAGATTTGAGCTGTTGAGTAATTAACTAGTCTGTACAAGCATATTAGCATTAGGTTCAGCAGCAAGTGCCAGAAAATTCAAAATAAAGGTAGCTTAAACAAGAGAGATGTTTATTTCTCTCTTGCTTAGAAGTCTGGGAAGGTATTTGAAGACAGGGACTGTACCACTCAGTGACAGGGATCCAGGTTCCTTCTACCTTGTTGCTCTGCTCTGCATGACCTTCACCAGGTGGTCCGAGATGGTGGCATCCACATTCTGGACAGCCATATGGAGAAAGGGACACAGAGACAGAGGGTAATATATACCATTTATCCCTGAAGCTGCCACAAGATGTTTCCCCTTACATCTCAACGACCAAAACTTAGTCACATGACCACACCTAGCTGCAAGGGAAGCTGAAAAATGCAACTTTCATTCTGAGCACCCATAGGCCCAGCCAAACATTAGAGCTCCATCACCATGCAAAAACAGCAATGACCATCAACCCTATCGTGCATGACTGTCAAAGCACTTTCCTAAGTCCTTGACACGTATCAGCTCATTTCATCCTCACAACAGATCTGTGAGGAAGGTACTACTTTTGCCCCCATTTTACAAATGGGGAAACTGAGATACAGATGTAAAACAAGTCACTAAGTGGACAAGCTGGAACATGACCCCATGTGGTGTGGCTCCAGAGTCTGGGCGCTGTTCACATGGTTAACAGTTACAAAGGGAGAATAGATATTGGGGGACATGCACAGTCTCTGCCCATATAGCAGCGTGGAAGACAAAGAAGAAAGTGCTCCAGGCAAAAGGAATAGACAAGGCAAACCCCACCCCTGTCTGCTTCCAGGAGCAAGGTCCTTTATAACAGTGCCTCTCAAACTTAAATGTGCCAACAAATCTCTTGGCGATCATACTAAAAGCACACCTGATTCAACAGGACTGGGACCTAGAATTTGCCCCATGATGCCCAAGCATCTGGCTTGTGGACTACCACCAGATAGACTGTGGACCACAATTTGAGGAGGGAGGACATGTGGTCAAAAGCCCACCACTGCATGACTCCCTTCCTGCACAGGGCCAACAAATAGTGGTTTGGGCCTGGTGGCAGGCCACACAAGGCCCTTACACCCTTCTTGCTATCCCAGACTTCCAGTTCAGGCTGATTTCCTCTGTCTCTCCAAAGTACCGGGCCACTTGTTGAATCAATGAATGAATGAATGAATGCATGAATGAATGAAAGAAAAGGTAATGCTGGAGGTCAGAAGAAGGGAGAGGCAACTGGTCAGGCCATGGTGTATCTACCTCCAGGGGAAGATTTTGGCTCATTGGCCCCACCCCGCCAGACCCAGTGCTGGCTCTGTGCATTCTGAATCCTCCCAGAGGAACAGGTACCATGATTTACCTCTACTTATAGATGAGGAAACTGCCTTCTGGCCCTGCTTTTAGAACATGAGCCTCCACCTGCCTCCCCTGGGATTTTTCAAGCCCTGTGAGGGAAACCTTGGAGGTGGGGCCGGCGACAGAACCCCAGGGGAAGTTCAGGATTAGTTTCCTTTATGCCAATCTTGTGTTACCTCATCTACCATCACCTCTAATCCACCCATCCTGGAGGGAGATACCGATTACCTGTGAATTTTGCAGGATGAAGCTGAGGCTCAGAGAGGTCTGTGCGGGGCCAAGTCACAGAGCAGGTTGCAATCTGCCTGAGACAACCAGCATGCCCTGTAGGGACCTGGCTCACAGCCAGGTCTCAGTGAAAACCATTCAAATGAACCATTAAGTGGAAGATGGAAGCAGAGGCAGCTATCTGGTCCATCGCAATCACTTTGAGTGATTGAGCCCTTATGGGGTGCCAGGCACTGCACTAAGCCAGTCTCCCAACTTTCTCATCCGACCCGCAGGAAAAAGCCCTTTAAATGTCATCAGCCTCTTTGTGCAGACGTGTAAAGCAGTGGGGGCTCAGAGGTGCCAAGTGTCTTTCCCAGAGAGGCATAGCAGGGAAATGGTGAGTCCACTTTATAAGTCTAGGACTGCCTGACTTCCTCCCTTCTCAGAGCTAGACGCTGTGCGCGACTCATATCTGGATCATTCATTCATTTAATCCTCACAGCTCAAGGAATCTGTTTTACAAATGCAAAAGAGCTCTGAGAGGCTGAGGTTTGCCCCAGGCCACAGAGAGAAAGTGGAGGAAAACGCAGAGGGGGCTTCGAAGGAACGAATGCGTCTTTGGGAGCTCCCTGCCCTCCCCCCTCCAGCCTCGACTCCAAAGGCCCGCCCCTCCCCCTCCCGGCCCGCGGGCCCCTTTAACCGGGCGGCGGAAGGGGAGGCCGGGGGCGGACGGGCAGCGCCCAATGGGCTGCGCGGAGCGTCACTTCCCGGCGGCGGGAGGCGAGCGGCGGGTGTCCGGGGCGGTGGGCGGCCGGCGGGGGCGGGGCGGCCGGAGGAGGCGTTGGCAGAGGGCTGGGACCCACGCGGCGCCGCAGCCCACCTGGCCTGCAGCAATCCCACCCCCGGCGGCGGCGGCACGATGCCCTTTGACTTCAGGAGGTGAGTGTGGCGACCGCGGACACAGGGGGTGCCCGGGCACGCCGCGGACTCCTCTTGCCCGGCACGCAAAAGCGGCCCGGCGGCCCTGTGCATGCCTCCTGCAGGCCCACGGGGACCTGGGGCGGGCCCCCTGCTGCACACAAAGCCGGAACCTCGGAGTGCCCCCTCGTGCGGCGGGAGGCAAAGCCACCCACCTCCCGGCCGCCCCACCCCTTCCCTCCACCGAGCCCCCTCCCCAGCCTGCCCCAACACCACGCAAACCCGCATCTCCTGGCCCCCCCAGCCCCCGGTCTGGGAAACAGATTAACTCACTCTCCCAGCTGGGAGCAAACGAGCCATCCCTCCTCCCCCCCCTGCCATCTATGGAGCCTCATTTCGTGGACCCCACCCCTGCTGACAGGTGCATCCGACCTCCAGTGAGCCCCCAGGGACCCGCAGGGGTCTGCAGCCCCATTACTGCCTGGCAGCAGCTGGAGGGTTTTAGGTTTCCATAGGCTGAGACTGCCCCAGCCTAGGCAGAACAGGAGTCCCGGTCTGTTCTCTGAGAATGGGGGCACCATGGGAAGGGGAGGAGGCCAGGAGCCACGGACAGGGCTCCCCAGAGGGCCCAGCCTGGTCTGGCCGTGGCTTTCTGCAGTCACTACAATGGGTCCTTTGTGGGGTCCAGCTGCCTCATGGTCCACGTTCTGCTGTGCTAGGCCTTCAGAAAGCCTGCCTGAGGAGGGGTCTCCGCCAGACTTCTTTGCGGTGTGGAGCCCCAGGGAATGCCCTGCCTGAGACAGCCACACTGTGGGGGTCTGGCCAGAAAAATAGCTTCCCCAGGCTTCAGTGTGGGGAAGGGCTGGATTAGAATCCTGGCTCTGCTCCCTCCACTGAGCAGCTCAGTATCTTCTAGAAGTTAGGAATGAAGGCTCTAGGTTCAGACCTGCCCTCAGCTGTGTGACAGGATGACTTGGGCAAGTATCTGAACCCTCTCAGTATCTCTAAAATTCACTATCTGCAGGTTGGAGCTGAAGTAAGGTCCTCACCTGTGAGGATTGGACGCAGGAGAAGCATTGTAGGGTTTAGAGCTCAGAAATAGGACGTCAGTAGATGAGGAGCTTCTCCATGAGGCCATTTCTTCATCCACAAATTGGGTTCTGATGCTTCCCTCACAGGAGGGAACTCTTCCTCCTCACCTGCCCCTTCCCTCTGCACAGGTGAGAGTGAAGTCAGGGTAAAGTTACAGCCTTCCCAAGAAGAAAAGCCTGTCAGTGACCCCCACGCACTGGCTGATGGGGCACTCCGGCCTTTCCTGGGCACCAGTGCCATCTGCAAACATCTGCCAGCTTCCTGCCCCTCCCGTGAAGCCCAGAGGCCGGCACCAGGGTCTCAGACACATGCTTGCAGATCCAGGGCAGTTCCAAAGGAGGAAAGCTCCTTGGATGGAATCAGGGGCAGTTCTTACAATGACGGTTAACCTCGGGCCTTGAGAGCTGTGGTTGGCACGTGGGTTCCTGGTTCCACAAAGCCTCCCCTTACCCAGGCTGATACTAAAGATTCCTGACCGCCCCACTCCCATCCCCTTGTGATTTAGTAGGCTCCAGTGATTTTGACTTTGTTGGGGAAAACTGCCACTTTGGGTCATTTAATCCTTTCACTCTGCACCCAACCCCTTAGGAGGAAGTTAAGGCTCCAGGCTGAAGGTCTTGCCCTGGACCTCACGGGACCTAGACTGGGGGGTGGGCCAAGGTCTAGGTCATGCACAGCTTCTGACCTGGTGCCCCTTGAGTTGGAGGTTTGGAGTGCCCTGGTGCTATGGGGGCCCAGCGTAATGAGGTATTGTTTTAATAAAGTTTCTTGAGGGCTTGGGCTTACCACAGAATGGTGAGACTAGATTTCACCACTTGGCATTTGCACTTTGGACAATGAGCCATTTGTGCCTAGTAACCCACACTTTTTAAGATCTGTTAACTCCAGGGCTCAGTTTCTAAGGAAGGTTCCCCCATCCCACACACCTTCTCCCTCTTCGGTGTTCATTCATCAGATGTTTACCGTGCTCAGCCTTCTGCCACGTGGCCCACAGTACCGAGCTGGGGCTGTGTAGCCCTGCCCTCTCAGCACTGAAGAGTAGGGAGGAGGACATCTACCCCTGTACAGGCACTGCGAGGTGCAGACTTGAAGTCTGTTCCCTTGTCACCTGCAGGGGGGAGTTTTCATCTTCATTTTAAATGAAAGGAACGGGAGGCTGCCAAGTAGAAGTTATTTGCCCAGGGTCATATACTGGGGAGCTGGTGGAGCTGGGATTTGAACTCGGGGCTGTTAACTCCAAAGCCGTAGCTCTGGGAGAAAAGGGAATGCTTCGAGAGTCCCAACCCTGTCGGATCTCCTAAGAACTGTGGGGGAAGGGAGAGGGGCATACTGTGATTGGACCCCCTCTCCCAGTTGGAGGCCTGGAAGAAAACCAGGCTTCCTGCCTGTTTTGCTTGCCTTGCAACGAGCCAGAATCAGGAGGAGGTGTGTGTGTGTGTTGGGGGGCGGGGTGGATAGCAATCTCTTGCCCTTTCTTATCAATACTCCTTTTTTTTCTTAGTGCCTACGGGACCTTGTGCAGCTTACCTTCTGTGTGTTCTCCTGTCTGTGAAATGGGCATGAGAACAGTACCCATTGTTGAGAGGATTAAACGAGTCAATGTGTGTAAAGCATTTAGACTCAATAAGCACCCAATAAATTTTGGCCATTATTTTCAATATTTGTGTTATTTCATGTAAGCACCTGTATTTCCTAACACTATGTAATTCGCTTAATTATTATACTTATCCTCTTTCTCCCTCCCATTAAATCATGAGCTCCCTAGAGCAAAGATTTTTATCTGTTTTATTCTCTGCTTTAACTCCAGTGCCTAGAACAGCACGTGGGCCAAACTCGCTCTTGGAAATGCCTCTCAGGGTCTGTTACGGAAGTCAAAGGCATGGTGTGATTTGATCTGCCAACTCTTCTTTACTGGGCAGATTTTCAGCTATTGGTGGAGAATTTTCCCCCTTCCTTCCTTGAATTTGCTCTCTCAGTTGTTTTAGGGGGTTGGAGGAGGCGGGATCCTGGGACTGCAAAGATTACTAGTGTTTGCTTTGCTCCCGTTGAATTGTTTCATTAATCGCTGGCCAGTTGCTGTTGTGGAACTGGCCTTGGGACCCAGATCCGTGGGTGTTGGCTCTGACCGTACCCAGTTCCGGCTGGCAGGGGTTGGCAGCATCTACCACCCACTCAGCCTGGGCTAGGGGTGGGGAAAGTTCCTGCAGCCCGGGCCCAGAGGAGCCTGAGCACAGCTTTCAGAGGGGCAGAGATGGCCCGCATTCCCGCAGTGGAGGCCCCCGAGTTGAACCCCTAAGTCCTGGGTTTGCTGCTGCCCTGTCACTGACCAGCCAAGCCATGGGACAGTTTACCTTCTCAGAGCCTTGGGCTCTTCATTTTAAAGACAAGTGGTAACCTTCACTGCCTCACCTGGTAGGGTAGACGTAGGGGCAAGAGAGGTGTCCCTGCCGGGTAGGGCCAGCTCTGTAATTTGTGGGGCCCAGTGCAAAATGAAAATGCAGAACCCCTTGTTGGAAAAGTATTGCGGATTCCAGGACCATGACAGCAGAGCATTAAAATAAGCATAGACCCCTAGAGCAGGGGATCCTGACTGTGTAGGTCACACGCCTATGATGCCGGCCCTGCAGCAGTGCCTTGGTTCAGCCTCCATTGCCTCTCACCCTGGCCTTCCTCCAGGAGACCCCAGACCTTCTTGAGAGAACCCTGAGTGAGCTTTCCGAAGTTGACCTGTTTTTTCTTTTTTTCATAGTAAAGCTTTCCACAGTTAACCTGATTTTCTCATGTCCTGGTTTCAACCTTCAAGCAGGGTCCATTGCTCTGAGGATCAAGTATGAATTCCTCAGCTCCTCATGTGGCTTTGTCTGAGGGGGGCCCTGCAGACCCAGAGCCCCCCTCACTCCCTGTGCCTAGCTAAGCCCCAGGCCCTGCAGGGGGTTCTGAGCACATCGTTAACACTCAGCAGTTAGCTAACATGAGTGTCTATTTCTACCCTGCCTTATTCCAGAAAGAGCTTGGGGAAGCTGACAGAAACACATACTTTACAATAATTTTTTTAAAAAGATTTGTTTATTTGTGAGAGAGGGAGCGAGAGCGAGAGTGTATGGCGGGAGGGGCAGAGGGAGAAGGAGAGAGAAACTTAAGCAGACTCCACTCTGAGCGCAGAGCCTGATGTGAGGCTCGATCCCACAACCCTGAGATCGCAATCTGAGCTAAAACCAAGAGTCGGACACTTAACTGACTGAGCCACCCAGGTGCCCCTACTTTATAACAATTTTTAAAAAACATAAATGGGCTTAAAAAATGAGGGCAAAAGGGAGATGAAGATTAGACCAGAGGAAAAATGATGTGAAGATGAAGCCAGTATTTTGCGTTTATTGAGTCCTTACTGGGGCCTGACAGTGGTAAGGGTCTTACGTATATCAACTCATTTAATCCCACAGTACCCCTACAACACAGTGTTGTCCCACTTTACAGATAAGCCAGTTGAGGTGCAAGAGCAATGTGGGTCAGCAGAAGGTGCTAGGGTTGAAATGCTGCTGTCTGGCTCCAGAGCCCCACTTGTCAGCTGTAGGCTCATCTCTAAAGCTTTTCCCCTTCCATTCACCAAGTTCAGAGAGAATGGGAATCTCCTTTAATTGGATTCATTGGCTTTCTCATCTCTAATTCTTTCCGTATAGTGGCCATTAAGAAGCTCAAAGTCATCGGCTTTTTTTCTTTTTTTTAACCAGCCTTGTTTGGTTCAGAAATTGTCTTTAAAGATGCCCACTAATAGTCTCACAGTAACTTAGAGCATCTCACTCTGGAGGACCCAGGTTTTACCACCTTGGCCACTGGGGCTTTAAAGCCTAGAACATATGTTTACCTGCTCACCTGGACATGGAATGAGATGGAAATCTCTCCTCTCAAGGCAGTTTGGATTCCTGACTGTG